CCTGTTGTTGCCAGTTAACAAACCTGTGGTTAGACTCTTTCTTCTTAAACACAAAACATATTCAAACAAGTAGTTCACCATGTTTGACTTGTGCTTCCTTATATACTGTATTTTTCCATTTATAAGATGCCCCAATGTATAAGACACCCCCCACTTTTCTGACACAAAATTAAGAAATCTAAGCGGGGCTTAGCAAGTGGAGAAGAAAGCAGGGTTCAAAGCACTGCAGGATCAATTTAATCTCTGCTTTCCCATCCACTTGTTTTTGTTCTCTCCTCAGCTTACTTCATTGTATAAGATGACCCTCAATTTTGAGCCTAAAGTTTATAAAAGTCTAGTCTCATACACGGAAAAACATGGTATATGAATCCCTCTTCACCTTCCTCCTTTTCCTGTCAGTCTTTTCTGTTTGTGATTTGGAAACATATCCCTGGACGTCTGCCTGCTATCCCAGTGCTGAATTGCTGGATAGCCCACCATCCCATGCATCAGACTCCTCTGACCCCACTAAGGGATCTTCATACAAGATACCAAATGCCAGCACAAATTTCACGCATCTTTTGAGAAGGCATTTCCCCTAACTCAGTGTTGTGCTGCTTATTACAAACTTTTCGACTCCTTCCTGGCTGATGGTCAAGTGAAGACTTGTGCTGGCCCATTAAGAAAAAGTCAAATTAGAAAATGTGATATTTTGTGTAAGTCAAAATAAAACTGTACCATGGTCCCAATTTCACTGCTGTCATCATCCTGAAGCAGGAGAGTACAATAGTGCTCACACTGGTCTATATCTCCTTGTATCAAATACAGGCAAGCTAATTCTGATAATATCTGAAAATAAAACAGAATCATAATGAAAGGGTCATTTAACACGGCAAATATAACGTAGGGAAGATGCTGATCATTTTGTCAAATATTTTCAGTCTGCTTTCCATACAAATTCAGTGACTATTTTTTTAAAAAAAAGTTAATTTAAATTAAATTAGTTAAATTTAGTCCCTTCAGTCCACCCCAGGGTGGTGACAGCTGAACCAGGAAAGGTGTCCCAGTCATGCAGAAGTACACAGTTGCTCCTGTGCACACCTTCCCAAACAAGAAATAAACATCAATGTGGGGATTACGCTGAGGTGCCGGTCCGCAGCACGTGCTCATTCCTTGTTGATTATGTGAAGGGGCTTCTGAAAGATTCAGATACCAAACTGGGATTGGGAGCTGTTAACATAAAAGAAGCTAAATTCTGTCTAATATGGGTTAAATTTCCCCCTTTGCAATGGAATCCCCATGATCCACCAATGTATTTTAAATTGATTGAATAAGAATCTCCCAGTAGTCAAGGCATGGTTAAACTGTATTACATTTCCCACAATATACTCTGGTAAGTAAACATGTAACGGTTTGCCGAACCATGATCACGGCCGTACTTAATTCCGAGTTTTTACAGAAATCCTGGCATCTAGCAGGTGAATGGAGAACCTTTAGCTCAGTGTGTGTGTACACTTTCTCTGCGTGTCTTTTAACTAGAGATGTAGATCAGGCTCACTTTACTGTCAGTGGGAACACAAGCCAGGGCTTCTGTGTAGTACTTGATGGCCTTTTCATACTCTTTTTCTGCCCGATAAAATTCAGCAAACTGTACACAGACTGTCAATGCCACTTGTTTCTGAGAAGGTATGAGTTCAGGCTGTTCTACACGGATTCGCTTCAATATCCTTTGCTGGGTGTCATAGGCCTGTTAAATGAATAAATAAATAAAAAAATAAAAAAATAAATAAACGAATGAATGAATAAATAA